CATTCCTTTCATTGACTTCGTCGTTTACATTCATATGAACCAAACTTCATACTATTTCATTAAAACATAAGGGACTCATGCTTTAATACTATATACAAAAGTTCTTCCGTTTGACAATTCCCTTTAACATCGTATTTCCGTTTAACTCACTAATTTCGTCACAGACATAACATCGCATCGTATCATTAATATCGTATCTCCCTTAAATCATTAATTTCGTTGTAACAGTATAAAATATTTGAAAGTTTTTCCAAAACTCTTAACATCACTACGGCATTAACATAATTACGACATTGACATCATTACGACATTGACATCATAACGATAACATTTACACATTAACATGACATTAACATCATGGCATTACCATCACGACGTTAACATTATGACTTCACGAAATATGTCACGGGTCATATGATTTTATTCGAACATTTAAATATAAATAGATTGTAATATACACAAACTTTTCATAGATGGATTGTAATATACACAAACTTTTCATAGATAGATTGTAATATGCATAAACTTTCATAGATAGATTTTTATACATGGACTTTTCGTAGATAGATTTTTCTTTTCAATTATCTCTTAACTTATTAGAAATACAAAACAAATGAATAAGTCACTCCTTTTACAAAACGCAATAATTATCATTTCTATATCCTATATCCTATCCATTCCTTTCATTGACATCGCCATATACATTTATATGAACCAACATAAGGGACTCGACGCTTCAATGGTTTGGTTGAGACTGCTTGCTGCGATGGTTGGGGCAGTATAGCTGAACTTTTGCATATAGCATTAAAACATCGTAATTTATTAAAGTTATTCAGTTTAACAATTCTCTTTAACATCGTATTTCCCTTTAACTCACTAATTTCGTCACAAATATGATATCACATTGTACATGTATCATTAATTTCGCTGCAAACCTCTTAAATCATTAATTTCGTTGCAAAAGTTTAAAAAGTTTTTTCAAAACGCTTAACATCACGACATTGACATCATAAAATTTTCAACATAATTACAACACTAGCATTTACAGCATGACTACAACACTAGCATTTACAACATAATTACAACACTAGCATCATGACATTAGCATCATGGCATTAACATCATAACATTACCATCAAGACATTAATATTATGACTTCACGAAATACGTCATTAGTAAAATGATAATTTTTGAACATTTAAATATACGCAAACTTTTCGTAGATAGATTGTAATATACACAAATTTTTCATAAATAGATTGTAATATACATAGATAGATTTTAAATATACATGGACTTTTCGTAGATAGATTTTTCTGAAATACAAAACAAATGGATAAATCATTCCTTTTACAAAACGCAATAATTCTCATTTCTATATCCTATATCCTATCCATTCCTTTTATTACTTCGCCGTATACATTCATATGAATCAACATAATGGACTCGACGCTTCAGTGGTTTGGTTGAGACTGCTTGCTGCGATGGTTGGGGCAGTATAGCTGAACTTTGTATATAGCATTAAAGCATCGTAATTTATTAAAGTCCTTTCGTTTGGTAATTCCCTTTAACATCGTATTTTCCCTTAACTCACACCAACATCTTATCATCATATAATTAATTTTGTCGCAAACATCGTATTCCCCTTAAATCACTAATTTTATTGCAAAAGTTTTGAAAGACGCAAGTTTTTCCAAAACGTTCAACATCATTACGGCATTAACATTGTTACCTTCTCTTTGTGGGGTGTTAGCTTCCCCTCGTGGGATGTTGTGGCATTAACATAATTACGGCATTAACATCATTACGGCATTAACATCTCATTATGGCATTAACATCATTAAGACATTGACATCATGACATTAACATTATGACATCACGAATATAAAATCATTGGTCAAATGATTTTATTCAATCCTTATGGAATGGAATTAACAATGGGCTCGTAAATATACATGAACTTTTGTAAATAATTTTTGAACATTGTTATAATATACATGGACTTTTCGTAGGTAGATTGTATATACATGCATGAATTTTTAAATATAATAACATAAAAACCAATAAAAAATATGCTTTATTATTATAAGCTAATAGATTTACTAAATCATAATGTACATTATCTTAAAATTTCAAGTGATTTATTCAAAAAAATATACATGTATAAAAAAACATATTTATTGTTAAACCGAAACTCATCTCGCCCAAACTGTGACGCGTTTTGTCTGATTCGAGACGCGTTTAGTCCAAATTAATCTTGCAAAGCTAACATTAATACTTTGTCGGACCTCCCCAGCTTTAATACAAGCATTAACGCGATTCGGCATACATCTACCAATCGACGGCAAAGCTCAGGTGATATGTCACGCCAGGCTTCTTGAACAAGACGTTCAAGGTCAACGAGGTTACTTGGGTTTGATTTGCTTCGAAGAGCGTTTTTGACCTTATGCCAGAGATTTTCGATTGGGTTTAGGTCTGGGCTTTGAGCGGGCCAATCCAACACACGAACTCTGTTTTTTTTGAGGAAATTGTTAGCGATATTGGAGATCTGCGGTCTTGCATTATCTTGTTGAAACCAAGGCTGACCACGATCCACATTTCCTGGGTAGGTCTTTAATGTTGGCAAAACGTACCTACGAAGAATTTCAACGTGAGACTTACCAGTGGCAGAGCCATTAAGCGCGACGAGAGGGCCAGTTCCATACCAAGAAAAAAACCCCAGTGCATCAGACTAGGTTTATGCACACATTCAATGTCCCATTCTTCATGTGGCTCACGCCAGACCCGACAAGATGATTGTTGAAAGAGGCAAAATGTTGATTCATCTGACCACAAAAACAACGAAAATGTCGAGCTGTCCAATCTTTATGTGCGAGACACCAGGCAAGTCGCCTCTCAGCATTAACAGTGAAAATGAGTGGCTTGGGACGTGCAATACGGGATCATAGATCTTCTTTATGTAGCGCACGGCGAACAGTCTTTCTCGATACATTACATTTTGTTTGAGCAGCAGAGTAGTGGTGATTTGGGCGAGGTTTAGATGGCGATTTTTACTAGTAACAAGGGTCTTGAGGACAAAACGATCGGAAACAGTGGTCATCCGTCCGAACAGCTTGCGATTAAACAGTTCCTGATTTGCAAAATCTACGAATAACATTACCCACAACAGACTTTCTACAGCCTACGTTAGCTCCAATGTGCGGTACAAGTCATTCTTAAGGTAACCATATACAATAGCTACCTTTTGTTCGTCGGTTAAGTCTTTCTCACTTCCCATAATGTGTTTGATGATGAATTAGCATATTACGTACACGTTTTGTGATACAAATATGATCTGCTAATACATGAACAAGTATCAGCTGAAATGGAACGCGTCTCGAATCAAACAAAACGCGTCTTAGTTTGAGCAAATGAATACGTATCAGCTTGGACGAGATGAATAATGAATTTCGGTTTAAGCTAAATTTAAAATTTTACGTTTTTTCGAATCAGTGATTTAAATCATTTGAAATTTTAAAAGAATGTACATTATGATTTAATAAATCTATTAGCTTAGAATCATAAATCTTGTTTTTTTTATTGGTTTTTGTGTTATTATATTTTAAAGTGTTCACAATATTCTGGGAAGCCACTGTAGATTTTACATATACACGAACTTTTATCAAGGTATGATTTTAAAGCACAATTTCTCCCAGCAGTATATAAATCTGCCGGAAACCTGATAGATTAACCAGAATGCTAAGTATCAAGTATCTTAAATTCTGAATTTTTTGAGACAGAACAATTCACAGACAAAAATTTTTCAGAATCTCACATTTGCCAGAAAATCATGTCCTGGATAGTAGTATATCATATAGTTGTTGTACATGTATTAGTATGCAAATAAGATAACCATTAATAAAAATAAAGACAAAATATATTCTTATTAGGAATAGGATTGTTGTTTGCTATTAGTAAATGCAAAAAAAATTGATGCACAAAGTTATGTTAAAATGCTAAAAAGTATAGTGATGTAAGAAAAATAGCACTATGTCATAGTAATGATATTAATACTTACAAATAGAATTTTCACAACATTCTGACATCCAAAATTCTGAAATTTCATAATCTTGACAGTCAATATTCCAAATAGTTCAAGATTCCAACAGTTCAAGATTCTGATATTCAAGATTCTGAATGATTCAAGATTCTGACAGTTCTGAACTATTAATTAAATAAATGATACTCAATTAACATATTACACTTTGATTATAAACACTTTAATAAATAGTTTGGCAAAATAGTTTGGCAGAAACATTTCTGAGCTATTAATTAAATAAAATTAACACATTATATTTTGATTTATAAAAACTTTAATGAATATTTTCAAAAATAATTATGTTGTACTTAACTTTTTAATTTACTATCTTAATATATACTAATGATAATATTTATTTTATTATAAAATAAAATTAATAATAATAATTATAGTAAGATTATACATAATTTTGTAAGAAAATTTATTTATAACAGTTATTTTAAGTTAAACAGAATATAGATAAGATTTTTTTGATTATATAATTATTTAATCACATGATTTCAAACTATTACATTTTTAATATTTACATATTGTTACTTGCAATATCACTTGTATATTTCTAATTATAATATATAATTATTAAAATTATTTTTGTAAATTAAAAGATAAAATCTTATAGTTATAGAGTGAATTTGATATAATATTCTGATAGCTCATAGACTTGACAATAAATGCATAAAATTCAGAATGTATGACATTCTGATATTTAATATTTTAATATTTTAGTTATTGATAGTACTGTTATAATTGAACTTCTAGTAGATATTATTATAATATAAATAATGAATCAATATTTAATTCAATTTTTTCTTATATTGTATTTGATCTCAATAATTTTGATTATCTTAAAATTACTGCTTTATGCATTTTTTTTATCTTTTAAGATAAACTATTACTATTATTAATAAATTATAATATCTACTTAATATAGAATAATTTTAAAACAATATAGTATTGATATTCTTTAGCAATTTTGATTAATATCCAATAGTACACAATTAATATAAATATTATAATATAAGTTTATTTTTTAAAATTAATTAATATATAATATTTTATTAACAATAAACAAGAGATAGTTTATTGATTAACTAGATTTTGTAGTAATTAGTTGATGATTTATTTTGAAAAGAGTAAAATTTTTCATTGTATAACTAATTATTTTATTATATATTAAATTTCTTTATATCTTATTATAATATATTATATTTTATTATAATATATTATATTTATTATAATATGTTATAAAATATTATGATATATTACAAAATTACAAAATATTACTATATATTATTAAATATTATAATATGTATTAAAATATTATATAAAAATAATAAAAGATTAAATTATAATAAATAATAATAAATAATAATAATAATAATAATAATAATAATAATAATAATAATAATAATAATAATAATAATAATAATAATAAT